TTCTCTCCCCTCCCTTTCCCTTCCTTCCCCTCCCCTGTTCCATGGGCTGCCCCTCTCTCCCCCCTCCTTCCTCCCCTTTTCCCTCTCTCTCTCTCTTTCTGCTCACAAACACATACCCCCCAAAGACAGGTCCTATGTTCTTAATCATCCCAGCATAGAGCATAATTATGCTTTTTGTGCTTGAACTTTCTCAAACACATTTAACCAGCTAGTTAAAATAAAATTAAGCAGTGGTTTACTAATGCTGCACATTACTTTGTAGTCAGTTCATAATCAATACATGTTCAATGGAGATGTTTCAGCTACCCATTTTTAAATAAAGTCAGGATAATATATGTCTGCATATATATTTTTCTTTAAATGTAAGCATCTTTTCTCTGTAAATGTAAACAATTTTAAAGATTTTCACAAAAACCAGAAAATTGAAAGGTATTTTCTGTCCAGAGCCTTCCAAGATTAATGATTGACAGGAGGCTTTGGAGCCAAAGGTTCGTCTTCACTCGCTTCTGGTTTTAGGTCGCTTCTTAGCCTCATTTTCTGTGTGTGCAGAATGAGAATATTGGAAACTTTGGTCTCTGATGGTTTTATTCAGTCAGTGCCTGAGTGATGATTTAAGGACCTCATGTGTTGGGGAGGTGCTCCTAGAGGGTTGGGTTCATGGCCTGGGCTTGCGGGCTGGTAGCAGGGTCCTCCCCCAGGGCACCTGGGACAGCAGCGTGTGTTTCAAGTCAGTGTCCCTGACACATTGCATTGACTGTGCTGTGCCCCACACTGGCTGCAAGACCCTTCTTTGCCCCTCACAGCCCATCTAGGGAGTCTACATGGTTCAGAGATGCTCATCCTTGGGCAGTGCATATAAATAAGTGAGCAGGAAAACTTCGAATGGGAGGGGTCCAGGTCAGCAATGGATGTCTATTGTACAGGAAAGAAGAATTTGTGAAGCTGAGACCAAGAAATGCATCCCCAAGAAGAACATCAGAGATAAAGAGGAGGGAGGTGATATAAACAGGGAGTTGAGACAGGGCAGGATGGAAAAGGGGCGGCTTCGCTGTCCTGCATGTTTGCAGTTGCCCGTGGCGGGGTGTCTGCCCTGCTGGGACAGCAAAGTCAGCCCCTCTGACACTAGACATCCAAGATTGTCTCTTAAGAATTTCTGGCTCCTGATGTTGTGCATGGGATGGCACAAAGCTGGCTCCTTTGAGCCACAGTAAACCCTGGTGTCTAGACTTGTGCCTGGACAAGGCAGATGGTAGCTGAGTGGGTGGTTCTCTTCTCTGGGTGCCTGTTAGGTCTGCTGAGAGCTCAAAAAGTGACTGGTTCCTGGGCCCACATCCAGCACGGCTGCCTGACTAGGTCTGGGTTGGGGCCTAGGCATCAGCATTTTCCAAGCTTTTGGATGATTCTCTGTGGGGCCAGACTGGAGAACCACGGCTGCTTAACGGGTCGGTAACCTGGGAGACCTGCTGGCTTATTTCCTTCCTCCCCTGTTGCCTCTGCAGATTACGGCACCATTAAGAAGGTGCGGGCGCCCCTGACTCAGACCTCGGGGAGCTGCTTGCTGGAAGAAATCGAGCTTTTCCCCGAGAGGCGGAGGGAGCCCATCAGGAGCCTGCAGATCCTCCACAGCCAGAGCTTCCTGTTCGTGGGCCTGCGGGAGCACGTGGCCAAGATCCCGCTGAAGAGGTGCCATTTCCACCGCACGCGCAGGTAGGGCAGCCCCGGGCCATCCCGTTCGCTGGTGCCCCTCGTAGCTGTGCCACCAGAGAGAGGGCACAGGAGGAGAGGTCTTTAAATTCCCTGTGGTCGAATGGCAACAGGGCCTAAACGTCCTTCTGAGTCCCGAATCCCAGGACGCAGAGTTTTGATGCTGTTTGATTTACTGTGATGAAAATGACCCACCAGTGTCCAGGGAGGAGCAGCCACATTATGACATCCGCTAGTAACTGTCAGGGTTACAGCAGATTATTCAGTGCCTTAGAATACTCAGTGATAGCGCTGGTAGTTGGTGTTCCTGCATTAATTTGGCACAACTTTAATTTTATTTGCATAATGCGTGTGTGTGTGTGTGTGTGTGCGCATTCTCTCTAAATATGTGTGAATATATATCAGACAGAGAACAATATGAACGGTATGTCCCTTTAGCCCAAAGCTAATCCCCCTGAAGAAGCAATGACACCCCTTTGCTGGTAGTCCTCACTGTGCTGTCCTGGGCACCAGCTGTCTTGGATGGATGCTGTCTGTCTCCTGGGCTCCAGGAACACCCAGGCCGCTGGGAGGAGGGAAAGAAAAGGGAATTTCTGCAGGTTCAGGGAAGCCCACATCCATCACACTTTTTCTCAACCCTAGGCCGGTCTGTTCATCTGCCATGCTGTGTCCACTGTTGACCCAGTGATGTTTGAAGCTCATTTTGGAAAAACGTACGCCCACATGCTTGGAAAACTGAAAACTTCTGTGTATACCATACATTTGACCAGCACTTTAGCGTCGGAATATCGCATGAATGTCTGGCCCCTGATGCAAGATTGCCCCCGGGAAAATCATAACCTTAAACGTCCTTAGGCATCAGGGCTCCTATTAATTCCAGTCCTCACAAGGCATCAATACAGACTTGTTGTAGAAGTTTGGATATATCACTCACAAACACCATACATAGGCCATTCTTTCTCAAACAGGCACCCAGTGACACTAGCTTTGGGTTCAGAGGCTGGGAGCCATGTTACAGACCTCCACATGCCGTTTCTTCACCTGGTCACTACAATATTGTAAACCTCACTTTCTTATCTAACACACAATTACTGTAGAATAAATGGGATGATGTTAGAGTGCAACATTTAAAGTGCTCTGCCAAGTGGATATTCTTATGTAGAAGGAGTGTTTTATGTATAATAAAATTATTACACTGTCTTCTTCTGGATGATTCTAGAAAATGACATCTATATTATGATACGTCCTTTGGCATTCGGATGTTGAGATAACATCAGGGACCTCCTAGCTAATCACAAAGCTATCATGAGCATAATACCAAGTGGTGATATTTATTACCAACTATCTTTTATATAGCACATTTTCCTAATTTTAACCAATGGTTGCTTAAAACTTGTTTGGAATTGTGTTCCCTGAAGGACTAATTTAGGGCAGGAATTATTCTTCCCAGTTGCAGATGACTCGGTGGGGGACAGGGAGGGTCGGAATCTTGCTAACAGGGATGTCACAAATCAGAATGCAGTTAGAAGGGCACCCATCTTGCAACTCCATCCCAGTGAGCTCTGAGTTCCAACAGCGGCTTGTCTGGGGGCATGACCCAGGTTGCTGTGCAGGAAGACACAGGCCTGTGCTATATGTCGGGTGTTTCTGGTGCGGGAGTGGGAGACCATGGATTGCAAAACATGAGGCCATTGATCCTTTCATGGCTCTTTCCTTCATTGGACCTGGGTTACAGTGCTCAGCTCCTTATAGGTTAGGAAGCTAAGTCCTGCATCAGATCCAGGAAGCCAGGCCTCATTGGGCCCACCCTCACCTCTTATAAGACTGCCACTAGGCACTGTGGCCAGGGAGCAGTTCATAGCCCTCTGTCAAGGAAAATAAGGTCTCTTGTCTATCCTCATTAGGCTCCTGTGGGGAGAAGATTTTACTGTAACATCCAGAGCTGCATCTCCCTGTTTACTTGTCCACTCACTCAGAGGAAACAGAGAGATTATGACTTCACTGATAACCATGGTCTGTGGTATCTGTGCCCACAGTCAGCGTGGGGCACTTTGTGTCTGACCCTTAACAATTCCAGTTGAGAAAAGGAAATCTTTATTTTAACTCAAGAGTTTCTCTGGAATGTTTTCAATATGTTTCTCTGCCATCCTTCTATAGAAAGACAAGAACCTCCCTAGTGAAAATTAACTGGGGCAAATAATCCATTTCTAAGAAACTAGTATCTACGTGACCAGATTTTCTTTTTATGAATTATGGGGGGAAATTGTGTTTTTTTGTTTGTATGTCTGTTTGTTTTACAAAAGCAATGTTGATTTTCCAGAAACATGTCTAAGGAGGTACACTAAATAGGAGTAGAATAACAGTTGAGTAACACGTCGTTACTGATTTCTTCTTTAAATATACTTTCTGTAGTAGAATATATAAGTAATTTTAGCTATTACTAGAAACTCAATTTTACTAATGAATTTTGAAGTGTTTAAGAAGAAAAATTGAGCTTGACTAATCATATTCCCATTTTTTATTTTTTGCCATATCTATTTTTGAAAGGCAATGCACAGTTTCATGAATATTTATAAATGATTACTCTTGATACAATTCCACAAGTTTCTCTTACATCTCCAGCAGTGTGCTAGATTTTATCTCCACTCATCATCTTACCACATCAATCAGATATCCTGAGTATAAAGTCACATATTATCTCAATTTTTCAAATGAAGAAATGATGGCTTAGATTTTTGGTGTCCGGCTCAAGGTAAACATGACTCTAGTGACATGAAACCCAGGTTCAGAGCTGAGACTTTCTGCAGCTAAGGCCCAGGCTTTGTCTTTGGTTCTCTGCCTCTTTCCTCTCTGCTATTTTACTTAATAAGCTCAAAAGAAAACCTGACTTCTTGTGCAGCAGTAATACTCCCTTTACAGAAAAGTGTAGTGAAATGAAACATTAGCCAGAAGATTGAAAACCCTTGGGCCTTAGGTGTTTGTTTTGTTTTGTTTTTGCTTTATTATAAAAACTAATTGAGGAGAGAAGAAAAATCTAAAACTGGAAGAATCACAGCCTCTATATAAAACAGAAGATACGTGCCTTTTAAATTTTGCTTGATAAAACTGGAGGGAAAAATAAAACCATTAGCAAAAGGACCTTGGCTCTATTTGTGACTTGGTGTCTGGTTCATTCTTAATTCATTTAACTTGCACTAGCTATCATTTAGTTAAAGAAATTAACACCTCATTAAGAAAATTAGTATGGAAATTAAGATATTTATTGCTTGAAAGGGCAAAATTTTAAAAGTAGGAGTTAATTGGTTGGCACCTTTATTAATTAAATATTCTCTAAAGACAACATCTGCCTGATGGGAGAAATATACACTTATAGAGAGAAATTGCTGAGTCCCCCTCTGTCCCCAGCAAGATAACCTTGGTCATTCAGCCATGAATCACAAACATTCACAAAGACGTTTTGACATGTATTCATTTTACAAACTATTCTCCCGTTGATATCAATTTTATATTTTCCAAATCTGAATGTCTTGAGCTTTTGTTTGTGTTGGCTTTGGTGTGGCCTCTAAAGACTGTGGATTTTCCTTAGTTAACTCATTGCTAGTATATTTCTTGAACTTAATATGCTCCAAGCACCAAGTCAGGCCCTGAATGGATGAAGACAGATGAGGCTGCCCTGACCCTGTCTTCATGGCGCTCAGAATCTAATGAGAAATTCGGGCATAAATAAAATCTCCCGAATATCTATTGTTGATTCGAGCCAAAGGGCCTTGAGTTACCTTAGACTGTAACTCACAATCGGTTCATCATTACAGCTCATCTTGGATGGGCTACACTAGGACTTAATCTCTGAGCCTGACATCCAATTACTTTTACAGTTATATCTGAATCACAACCAGTGTTACAGCTCTAAATTTCCAATAGTAAAGGAATTAATCCACAAGTTCTGATACATGTATTCAATGGCTTATTTGCTCAGTGGGTTATTCTGAAGCCATTAAATGACGACTACGAAGACATCTGTGTGACATGATAGTAATTGGAAAAAGGAAGACGCGTATGTCATCATTACAACTGTTTAAAAAATAGAAGGGGAAAGACAAAGCACATTCATCAACATGCTAACGATGATTGTGAAGAACACATTCTAAAAGGGTCTAAGGTAGAGCTGTGTTTACTGACAAGAAAAATGTGTCGTGATATATAATTATGTGTAAAAAGTAAAACGTGAGGCTGTGGGTATAGTCCCCTTTGTATGCGTTACATACAATTGTTGTATATATAAGCAACAATAACATAAATATATATGTTGAATGTATTTAATACTTATAGATATATCCACACATGCTCACTTATTTGTATAGAGACTATCTCCAAAATATATGTGTGAATAGTATCTACTTCTGAAGAAGGAAGGCTATTACTTTGTCCTTTATTACTACCTTGTTTGATTTTTATTTTATATTTTTCATGAAAGTAATATATGGGTGTTAAAGTAATAAAACAAGGAGGCCTTTGGACTGGAGTGGCGCTAATGCCTTGGTAATCTGTTTAGCAAACCAAAACCTAAGCCAGAGTCAATGTGTTGGAAGCCGACACAATGAAACTTAAGAACAACCTGTCACACACAGCCAACCAGGCTTCCCCAAACAAGGCAACCATTTAAGCTAGAGCCAATCAAATAATTTCCTTGCTTTGCTTCCATGTTTTCTCTATAAAAACCTCTCCCCTAGCTCATGTATGTGGAGCCTCTTAATCACTGTCAGTTTGATGCTGCTTGATTAGAATTCATGTTTGCTAAAATAAACTTGAAAATTTTAATATACCTTAGTTTACCTTTTAGCATGTGCCTCGTCACTTACGAAAAAGTACTGTTGAGGTTGTGGTGACAGGTCATTGTTTCCCACCCCTTCCCACTTCAGCTTTGTCCTGCTGTGAGAAGCACCCTTTTAACCATTCCTGTTTGAACTGTTTAGGTGGTTAATAAATAATAATTGCATAGTAAGTTAAATAATAATTTTATACCTCTGTTGCTTGATTTATTACCTTTATCTTCCCCAGCTGTAGAACTACCTTTCTCAGCTTTAGTTTCTTTTTTTTAAAGTGGGAATAAATGTAGTAACTAATTGAGGTATTATATTTATAAGGTTCTATGAGTTTTACTTGAGTTAATAGAAGTAAGGTTCTTATAACAGTGCTTTATACATGGTTAACATATTTGGTGTGCTAATTAGTATTATTTTATATCATTAATGTTAACCAGATTATTATTTATACTACCTCACTGGTCCTATGTTTGACTAATTGGTAACTGTAACATTCTCCCCTCTAACTCTATAAAGAAATTAGACTTCCACGCTGTACACACACCTTCCTTTCCTCACATCCATTTCCTACATATCTGACCTCTTGGTCCCTTCAAAAAGAGAATTTCCAGGTGTTCAATATCCTGTTTGCCTGTGGGGTGAACTTGTTTATAATTTTGGCTCTCTCACTGTTATCTCTGTCTGCTTCCTATAGCCCTCCATCTACCTTCTATTGTGTTTATAACGTTGGAGCCAAAATCTTCATCTGATAATGCCCAGGTTGTTATGAACTCCTTTACTGAGATAAAGTTAAAAAAATATATCCACTGTCCACAATACTTCTGAATAATATGGTGAATATTGTAGACAACTATATTAAACTATTAAATTAAATTTTAATACATTTTTAAGCTATGGTACTGAAAGGAAGACTTATTTATTAAATCTGAACTAACCACATTGCATTATTTTGGTATATATGCTTGTCCTTAAGCCAATTTCATAAATTTTGTTTGTTTTCTTTGGTGTTTCATTGATACCTCCCTCGGTAGAGCTTCAGTGTCTAAAGGATCTAATAACTTGCTATATCACAGTAGGTGTCCAACAAATAATACCTGTTACTAAGGTGTTGATGATAGTGATGATGATGGTGGTGGTGGTGATGATTATGGTTATGATAAAGAAAGTGATAATAATAGCACTACCTCCCTGTCAAAGTTTTTGTGTCTAAATGAGATAATTTGGCATATCACAGTAGGTTTTCAACAAATAATACCTATTATTAAGGAGATGATGATGGTGGTGATAACAACTAGTATTTTTGAACATTGTAAAGTTCTGACTTCAGCTCTGTCGATGACACCAAAAGGCTCCTGTTGGCACAGAGAGTCATTTAATTGTCTGCCTTCTATCTTTAAAAAAAAAAAAAAGTATTTCAGTGAAAATTAGTTATTTAATTTTACTTGGATACTTCCAGGTGTGTGGGAAGAGCTATGTTCTCTCACATGCAGACTGAAACTTTATTTTTGATAACTACTTCCCATGACAAGTCGTAAGGGCCAGGCTCGCCTTAGGTTGCATCTTTGTTTCGCTAAACTACCTGTCTGGTGACCCTTGGGTGTGTGTTCCCAGTGCCTGCATCGGGGCCCAGGACCCTTACTGTGGCTGGGATGTGGTGATGAAGAAATGCACGAGCCTGGAGGAGAGCCTGAGCATGACTCAGTGGGAGCAGACCATCTCCGCCTGTCCTGTAAGTGTCCACGTTCTCGGTCCTCTGAACGCACTGTCCTTAGTCACCCGCGGTCCTACGATCCTAACCAGCGCTTTAATGAAGTCCACGCATTTTTATCTTAGAACCTTTCCTGCACACCTTGTCTGTGCTCGCTTAACTTATTCAGCTCTTAGCTTGCACAAGAGCCACATAGGATACTGGCATAGGCTTTTTGTCTGTTGTTGTTGTTTTTAAATATGTCTTTATTGATTTCAGAGAGAGGAAGGGAGAGGGAGAGAGAGAGAAACATCAATGATGAGAGAGTCATTGATCGGCTGCCTCCTGCACGCCTCAAACTGGGGATCGAGCCGCAACCCGGGCATGTGCCCTGACCGGGAATTGAACTGCGATCTCCTGGATCCTAGGTCGATGCTCAACCGCTGAGCCACGCCTGGCCAGGCTTTTTGTCTGTTTTGATGAAAAGTATCTTAAAGAAAACAGTGCTGGTTGGAGAATGGGGTATAATATCTCTGTTTTATTCTTGGATTTTTATCTCCAGAGTTTGATGTGAACTATTGTACCTTTTGTAGCATTAATAAAATAGTACCTTCCACACCCATCAGTTTCCCTTGGGACCTATAGTTCCAGAAGCCGAGAGAAGTGGAGCTTTTAAAAGAATGAACTAAAGGCTATTACCATGGGAGCCCATGTGGGACAGTCTTGTAGATCCTGCTCAGGGTCACAGCAAGGTCTGGGAGAAACAGCCCAATGTGCATTCCCACAGTGAATTCTGCAGAGCCAAGAGGAGCTTGCTTGCATTTGGAGTCAGACTCTGAATCCAAGAAAACAGTTTCCACTTTTCCGTTTTGCCAATTTATTTGTTCAGGTCCTCACTTCTACAAACCAGCTGCTTTTTTTCCCTGTTGTCTTTTTGATCCTCAGGGAATATGATTAACCTCTATTAGCTTCTATGCATTTGCACATTTATTAAGTTTCTTTGCTGTCACATAACTGCTGATCTCCGTGACTGTCAGCTCTGGCATTCTTCTGCAAGACAGGGCTCAGAAGGGAAGCGACACGTCCTGTGATTTGAAATCTGGGCTGTTTCTTCCAAACAGAACTGCCTGAGGCGTGTGAACTGGGGGTCTGCCTCCTATCAAGGAGGCTGCTAATGCTCTTATCTAAAGCCTTGTCCATGAAGACTGTCCTTCCATTTTTAAGTGGGAAAATCAGGCAAAGTGACATGAGCAAGGCCAGGGCTATTAAAACCCGTGTCCTTCCCCAAGTGTTGGCAGTAGATCAAGGCTTTTCACTGCAACTGTGAATGTATAACCCCATCCAGGCTGCAAGCAAATCTTTGCAAGGGGGTTAGCTGCTAGTCCTTGGGGGTGTAGCTTCAGGTCTCTGATTTTAGAAGGAAACTTTTCTGCCGTGTCTCTTGAAATTGATTTTTAAAATGCTGGCGTTTGAAGTCCCTTTTCATTTCTGAACAACCCTCAAGAAGTACAACGGTGTTCACCTTCCATTCTTTTTTTTGCTTTTTAATTCTTATCTGAGGATATGTTTTTGTTGATTTTAGAGAGAGTGGAAGGGAGGCAGGGAGGGAAAGAGAATGGGGAGGTGGGAGAGAAACATTGATCTATTGCCTCCTGTATGTGCCCCAACGAGGGATCAAATCCACAACCTAGGCATGTGCCCTGACCAGAAGTCGAACCTGCGACCTTCCAATGCATGGGACTGTGCTCCAACCAACTGAAACATCCGGCCAGGGCTCACCTCCCACTCTTTGCAGCTAGAGAAAACTGTGCAATCTCTGAAATGCAGCTCTGATGTACAAAGTGTACTTTAGAAAGAGTCAGCACACCTTCTTCTAGATATTTTGACCTTGACATTTTAATGGTACAAAAGAGCAAACCAATGTAGTAACAATTCTTCTTAAGCAATGAGGCCATTGGTCTAGGACCCATGGTGGTTTTATTAGACATGTGAGACATACTTACTTATGTAATGGAAAATGCACATGCCGCCACTTGGTTTATAGTAAATATGTGTCACGTGTATTTCTACCTTCCGAAGATGGAGATGATCCAATGTTTAAGAAGTGACCAGAGGGTTGTTACTAAAGTTGTCACTGCTGCTGAGAGGAACATTTCTGTTGTGCACTCAGGAAGGGCAGAGGGCGATGGGGGTCTGTCCTGGGGTTGGAGCTGTTTCTCTGCCCCCTCTGCTTCAAAGTTATAGCTGAGAGGTGACCTCTGATTCACTGTCCAGAAAACACATTACAAGGTCTTTTTTTTTCTTGTTTGAGGTGATTTCTTTATACAAAACCATCCCTGTCCCCTCACTCTATATAATGTGTCATATTCAAGCTACACTTTCAATAAGTTAATAATATGGGAAGCAGCCAACAACAGAATATAAATTATGTCACTTTGAGCAACACTCAGGAAATAAAACAATGTATTTTTCTCATATGTGAAAGCTACCATGTAGAAAATGGGAAATTTTGAATAACCCAGCTACTATTTTAATTATATATCCTTTCTAACAATCTATTTCTTAGAAATGAACTAGATGAAAATTGTTAGCATTTATATAGAGCAGTCTTAACTTAGGTATTTTTAAAGGCTATTAAAAATGTAATTTGCTTCTATGTTATTTTTTATTTTTGACTTAAATGGAAGAAAGGCTTAATTTCATTTCCCAAATCTACCATATTTCATCATTTCTGATATGCTATTGGCTAAGAAGTATACTACTGTTTTATAAGAAAAAAAAAATGCTTCCGTGGATTACAAGATGCCAGTTGATTTTAGAGATGTTAAAAATACATAAAATCTTATAATGAGAAAAATACATTTTTTTTTTATCTACATATATTTAGTTGAAAGAAATTAAGCTTTATAATCTGAGGGATTTTTAGAGACCAGTGCATCTTATATCCAATATAAAAGCCCAAGTTGAGTAATGAGAGGAAGTCCTGTTCAGGGGAGCTCTAGGTTAGAGGGATGATGAATGTGCTGAGATTGATATCACACCCTCTGTGGGAACTTACCTTTTAAATCTTCACAAACCATGAGCAAACAGTGTAGCATGGCTGAGTTCCCCAAAGTTAGTTTTCCAGTCACACCTCACACACAGGCTGCCCTCTGCTGCTTAGCTGCTCTCCTCTCCAGCGAGTTGAAGTTGCCCATGAGACCCCCAGAACCTTCCCAGGGACTTAGCAATTTAAGATCTGTTTTCCACTGAATGGTCCCTATTTAAAAATATTTATGGATTTCTGTTGTCCAGGAGACAGGGCAATTGTTGACTGACTATTGACTAAAGTTCTGTTTGCTTTTGTAAATGTCATTGAAAACATTGTTCTCAGTTTAATAGATTTGAAGTGCTTGAGCAAGATCTAAATCAACATTTCTAGCGTGATTCAAAAAATACAGACATATGTCCTGCATAACTTGTCATGTTGCTTAACAAGGGTAATATAGTTTGAAGCATCTACTTGGGCTTTCTGCATGAATACTGTCTACATCCTTTGTGGGTACATGATTACCAGCACATTATATCATATGGTGAGTTCCTGTTCCAAAATATATCATGCAATAACTAGCAAAATGCAAAGACCAAATAAGTCTCACAATTACAGCATTCTTCCTGGGCTATGGAGTAATTAGCATCTTCAAAGTGAAAGGGGACTTTAGCAATAATGGAATCCAAAGCCCTCCGTGTAGAGGGCAATATCATAGATCAGAGTCTAAAGAGTTTGCACAGGTTCTAAAACTACATCGGGAAAGGAATCAGATTTAGATCCAGTACTTCTGATCTCCAGCGTAGTTTCCTTCAAAGGTGCTGTTTCCTTTGTGAAATTCGTTTATAGAGAGACTGAGGGATGATATCAAGGAGTTTATTAATATCATGTTTTGTTCCAATCTCTGACAAAAGGTACAAGGAACTTTGAAAATAAAGGAAGATCTTTTAACTTCTGAAAATATGTTTGGATAGAAACTATGAGACTTTGATGTAGTTAGAATGATGTCTGGAGTACTGTCAGGACCTAAACATGTGCTCCAGGGACCTCTATACACATCAAACGCATCTCCATTCTGGGTCATTTGGGAATCAATTTAATTGAACATGAATGAATTGAAGTGGGATTTTGCTTGTTAACAAAACTTGGATCTTCCTTAGCTAGCTCTTGGAAATCTGTTATTTCCTAGGTGAGGGGAACTTTTCTGTTACAGAATTGGGGGTAAAAGAGCATGAAGCTGATGCTCATGAGACTCCTACCAAAGAAGGGTCTAAGAATCTCTTTACAGAATGAAATAGCTGAGATCACAGTCTCTGGACTTAGTTTGTTTAGAATGATCTTGGTTCTTTTAAAACCAGTGTGACTTTGAGCAAATTGAGCCTCATCTGAGTTTCAGTTTTCCTACCTATAAAATGGGATGTAGATAGTAGGATGTTGGGCAGATTCAAGGAGTTAAAATGTGTGCATCACTCAGAACAGTGGCTGGCCCACACTAAACTATCTACATACATACCTGCTATAAGTTTTACTATGACTTAATATTTCATAACATAAAGCACATACCCCAAATTGCTTGGCAGAAACCCAGAAGATAGCACCACTACAGAGAATTTATTCTAGATAGCTTTATTTCTGATGTCTGTTTAATGACAGCTAAGAAAATATAAAAATACCTGGAAAAGTAAAGTTGCAGAACCTACCCCATTATTCATGGATCGATTTCCGAGGCAGATTCTCAAGGTAATATACTCAGGATCAAAACAAGCCTGTGGTTAAATGCAATACAGAGAGCCCACGTGCTTTTCTGAATATTGCATGCTCTTCTTGCTCTGAATTTAATAGAACCAACAGCAATATCTGTAGATTGAAAATATTGCCCCTCAAAGTGTACAGCTACCCTACCCATGGCTGAAAAATAAAGCCCACATTCTTACCCTGCAGAATTATATCGCTGCGTACTCTCAGCAAGGATTTGCTGAGTGCAGTTGCTTTCCAGTGTTTGCCTTACTCTAACTGTTCTGTTTTTTTCCACTTCATTTCTCTTCCTTCCTTCATGAGCTGTCACTTATTTCAAACTCATTGTCTCTTTTCATCTGTCATTCATATGAGCCCACGTCTGCCCATCCATATGTTTGGAAGAACTTTTATACCATCCCTTTGCCTAAGACTCTGTTATCTTACACCAGTGCACAAAGGCACATAAAAAGGGATGTCTAATGAAAGCAGTGGTTCTTCATTGGAGGTGTCCCCAGGGACCGTTAGCAATATCTGGAGAATTTTTAGTTGTCACATCCTGGAGCAGTGGGACACTGGCATTTAGAGGGCAGAGGCCAGGATGTCAGTAAATATTCTGCAATGAATGGGGCAGCCTCCACAACCATGACCCAGCCCGGATGTCAGTAGTGCTGCGGTTGAGAAACCCTGGTCTCGTGGTAAGGGAAGAGCAGACCAGCCCTTCCAATTACATCTTCCAAATCCCTACTTGTGCAGTCTTTGGCAATCTCCTGACTATTTCCTTAAGTCTTAGTTTGCGTTTTCTGTAGAAATAGTATGTAAAGATTTTGTCCAATAGGACAGCATTTACTTAAAAGAAATTGAATTCCCTGTGAGTAGGGCCTTAAAAATGACTCTCTCCCTTCTTCTATGATGGGAGACAGCAGCTTCAGGGCTGATTCTGTTCAGTTTGGGGAGGCGCTGGGTGAGCGGGTCTTGTAGTCCCCGAGCCTTCTCTGCCTCCCCCCAGGAACGTGAAGAAGCATCATGGATGAGAAGTTACAGAGAGTTTTTGTCTTATCTGGAGGAAAAGCATTTCCGGAAGCCTTTCCCAGTCTCTTGTTCTGTTTCCCAGGGTCAGGTCACATGTTCATTCTCAGACCCAGCGCTGGCCCAGGGAGTGGGGCTGCCCTGACTGGTTTAGACCAGGCGGGATTAGCCCCCTGACCTGGGGCTTGTCCTGTTCCAGGGCGAAGCTGCTGGTGTCAACACAGCCCTGGCCTGGATGCCTCTTCTCCCTGGGCAGTGATAAGGAATGATTCCCTCCATGACTGCAAAGCCTCCAGAGCAACCCTTCCACCCTGCTGACATTCTTGCCTTAGGCTCTTCGGGCTGCAGAAACTGATGGTCTCAGATTCCCTGCCCAACAGGAGATTGGTTTTAAGGGAGCACATGGATTGGAACAGGAACCTCAAAACTGTCAGGAATCGGGGCAGCGACTGTGACTCCTTCTCCCTGTGTCTGTCTTTCCTTCTCACCCTTGGTTTCTACTTCTACCTTCCCTGTATTCATTTATTTCTATGCCCTTATTGATCAATGCACCTGGTACCAAGGCTGACCCATGATCTTGTAGTTCCCTTTCCACAAGTCATGGCCTTATTTTTTCAGTTTGCCAATTTCTGAGTATGTTCCCATCGTCATGTGTCCTCTTGGAACACTCTGAATGGTCCGTTTCCATCTTCATTCATTTGTCACCATATTATATTTTCTCCTGGCCTCACATTCCTCATTTTCCAATATTCAGATCTGATGACTTCTTATAGCTAAAGAGATCCCAACAGTCTCTGTGCCCATTTCCTTTGGGTTTTGATGAAGAGATGGAGGCCAATCTGCTAATCTGTCTCCAAATAACCTGATGTTTCAAAAGTCCCAGTCAATATTGGGAGAGCACCTAAATCTTCAAAAGTGACCACAGCGTCCTCCTCAAAATCATGGGGCACAGCTCCTGTTTCCTGCCAGGGCCGTCCTGTATGCGGATCCTTAAGACTTAGATCTTCCTCCCTGGGACCCCACCTCTGCCATAAAGAAAGCCGTGTTATTTTATGCTTTGTGGCTTCTGGGGCTCCCTTTCCCTGACACATCAGTAACATTCAAGAGGCTTCTGGCTCCTTCTGAGTGGGGTTGAAGGCTGGTCTGCAGAAAAGCAGGCCCGTCGAGAAGGAGGTTTTTTACGAAAAATGTTAGTGTCAGCATGATGTGTTAAAATACATGGATATTAATATTCTGAGTAAATATGCTATTTTGGTTGTTTTTTATGTCGTTTTGCTTTCAGAATTCACTTTTAAGCTCTTTAGGTTTTTGCACCATTTTTAATGAGCTGTGCGTGTGTATGTGTGGCGTTAGGAGGGACAACCGCCTGCTGATGTGTCATACGCCGAGCAGGCCCACGGTGCCCACCTGACGTAGTCCAGTCCTGTGCTCTGCAATCCATTCTTTCCATAGCTTATCGGTTCCCCAATAACTGGCTCAATAGGGAAAATATCATCCTGTACAAATCCAGCCACTGAGCCCAACCTGTCAGCAATTTGAATAAAAGTTGTGAAATCTTTTCCATGTGAAAATGCCCCAGAAGTCGAAACTTCCAGTCTTCTTATGCCTTTGTGAGAATTTTTTGTCCCCAGTTCCCCCTTCCAGACAAACACTTGTCTGCCGGGAGCAGGAGGGAAGGTTACATATCTGTGGGCAGCCGAGGACTGAGTTCCTTGTCATCTGCACCTGGGTCTTATCTGAGTAGAGCATCGTTTAAATGCCAGAAGGAAGGCACATGAAATGATATTTGGGTTTGTGAAACCAAAATGGAACTCAGCATCATTTCTGCATGATCCATGCAACACTTATTTCTAATGGGCCCTTAACAAGCCTGTAGTTACAGTGCCAGCCACTTGACAAGTAAAATAAATGTTGTTAGTTTTAAATGACATTTGAGCCAGGCCTGGTCCTAAATGACAACCAGTTGGTCAAGCTTTCATTTTTTTAAGCTACATAAAAATGCAACAGGATTATACATCTCTGGTTTTTCACTCCAGTTATTCTTGCTCCTTGCTTCCTCACATTAGTGGACAATTCTGCCATCACCAGATTGTCAAGCTCTTAGCACCCTTGGATCCCACCTTCCCCCACTCCTCCTCCTGCTCCCCCTTCCCCTCTCCTGCCCTCTCCTTTCGCCTCCCCACCTTCTCTGTCATTATCGGCACTGCTGACCTCTGCTGCTTTACTTTGAAATATTACCCCATTCATCCCTTTTTATTGTAATACTACAAAATCCTCTAAGTGGGTTCTGACTGTCTTGTGAGAGACCTTCAGTTTTTCTTCATGTTTGCAGCCTTAACCCTTTCTGACATCCTTCTCGTATCTGCTCCCTAGACGAGGAATCTCACTGTGGATGGGCACTTTGGCCCGTGGTCCCCATGGACGCCCTGCACTCACACAGATGGCAGCGCCGTGGGAACCTGCCTCTGTCGCACCCGCTCCTGTGACAGCCCGGCCCCCCGGTGTGGCGGCTGGGAGTGCACAGGCCCCCGAATGGAGATCACCAACTGTTCTAGGTACGTCACTCCCGACACTCGGGCCTACTTTCATGTGAAAACCCAGACTGTAGAGGAGTTTGGGAAATCATCCCTAATATATACCTTTCCACCTCAAGAGAGGCAGAAAAAGACAGGGACACTTACCACTTCAGGATTGCGTGATCTGTAGCAGGAGGTTTTAAACTTCTATAAATTTGAACCTATTCTTATGTCCCTCATTAGATTAGAAAAAATCTTGCTCCTGTCTACAATATTATTGGTTTGTTTGAGGGAAACCTCCATGTCAAGGACATACTTTTTCTAGAATATGTAGACTAGTAGCCCCTTATTACACAACTCAGTGCATTTGTTGTGCGCTGGCCTAATCCACTTGGCTCTTCACAACTTCTTCTTTCTTTTGATGGCATCAGTGATCCCCAGTGGTTAGAAGTGAGGGCTGTAGGCCCCACCCTTCTAACTTTGCCATTAAGTGGTTCCTGAGAATGAAAGCAAGTCTGGGATCAAATTTAAGCAGACACTGGAAACTGTGACATTGCCTGTTCTTGTAAATGATGGTGTCTCAGGTCCCTATCCCTCTGGCATGCTGAAATGCACGCCCAGGACAGGTTCACATAGTGCAGATGGGCTGCTCTGGCAGCCGGTCAGCCAACCTTCTGGTCAGACCAGGGCAGGCGCCCTCTGTAATTAGGCAGACACTTTATCAAGGGTGGCCCAGCTTTGCACCCACTGTGTGCATGAGCAGAGATGTACTCATAGTATATCAGCTTATCTCTTGGGTGCCAGTTAATTTATCAATCAAAGATCATTCCTAACTTCCCATATACTAGTTAGTGACCCTCTGGTGGAGATTTAGAAAGCAGTGTGCACTTTTTCAAGCAGCGTACCCTGGGGTGTAAGCAAGCACCGGTATCACACAGTTTTCGTAGATTGAGAAGCTGCCTACCTACCCATGGAGCTGATTTTTCTGAGTCTGGAAGGGACACATCAAAGGGAGCAACTAAACCTCACATGTCCACATGTGTCCCTCGCACTGTGGGGGACAGTTCTCATTAGCAAAGTTTGTACTTGGACAGGAGGGTTTCCTGCCACAATGGTATTCACAACCCATTGCTTACCTGGCCCCTAAAATAATCTTGATAACGAGGTGTTTTCTCAAGTATCTATAGATTAGCATCAAATTTATTTCATCAAAAGGTTCAATATTTGCAAAGATATAATTTGTTATATCACTGTTTAAATGTGTAAATGGAATCTAACTACCATAGTCATTTGTTAGCCACCTTCCCCTAAAAAAAAAAAAAAAAAAAAAAAAAAAAAAAAGA